TATTTACTTTTTTAAAAAATAGGTTGAGTTAGTCATTCTATTATGCTTTATTTCAATTTCTCCATTATCTTTATATTATGTGTATGAGTGTTTTGCCTGCATGTGTATCTGTGCATGCATATGTGTGCCTGGTGCCCTCAGAGACCAAAAGAGAGCATTAGATCCCCTGGGGCTGAAGTTATTTTGTGAGCCACCATGTGGGTTCTGGGAATTGAACCTGGGGTCATCTGGAAGAGTAACCGCTACTCCTAACTGCTGAGCCGTCTTTCTAGCCCTTATTATGCTGGCTTAAAAAAAAAAAAAAAAAAAAAAAAAAAAAGATTTGTTTTTAATTTCAACTACGTATATGCATGTGTGGGAGATCGTTCATGTCAATGTAATGCCCATGTTACACTTCATCATCAAAGGTGCTCAAACAGGGCAGGAACCTGGAGGCAGGAGCTGATGCAGAGGCCACGGAGGGGTGCTGCTTACTGGCTTGCTCCCTCTTGGCTTGCTCCTCGTGGCTTCTTCAGCTTGCTTTCTTATAGAAGCCAGGACTACCAGCCCAGGGATGGAACCAGCCACAATGAGCTTGGGCCCTCCCCCCTCAATCACTAATTAAGAAAATGCCTTACAGCTGGGTCTTATGGAGGCATCTTCTCAGTTGAGGTTTCCTCCTTTTAGATGACTCTGGCTGTGTGTCAAACTGACCTAAGACTAGCCAGCACAGCCTGTATCTGTGGCTTTAGATTATGGTAATGTGACCACAGGGGGGAGAAATGACACTCTGAAGAGACATCCTGTCATTGGATGGTAGACGGTTTCTGGGAAGGTGACAATTTACGAACGGGACATAATGAGTTTGCAATGTTGAAACAGTGAGAGGTTTTCTGGAGGTTCTCAGTGGTAGGCTGCTTGCCTAGCTCATGAAAAGCTCTGGGTAGTCTCCAGCATCGCAAAGCAAACAAACCAGCACACAAAACGTCAGGAAGGAAGCGGGCTGCAAACACATGGGGTGTGTAGGCAGTCTTTGCGAGATGTGTCAGGGCACCAACAGTTACAGACGTGTGAACTCTCTTTATTGAGAACATGATTCAGACCAGGTGAATAAATGAAATAATTAAGGTAGCATAAACCAAAATCAATGTTTCAAAACTATATTGTGACCCTAACGACACACAGATATTACTAACTCGTTCCTAAATCAAATTTCTTCCTAAAACACTGCATTGTCTGTTCTTCCAGTGGTTCATGAGTTCAATTCCCAGCAACCACACGGTGGCTCACAACCATCTATAATGTGATCTGGTGCCTTCTTCTGGCATGCAGGTATACATGCAGATAGAGCACTCATAGTCATGAAATAAATAAAATCCTTTTTTAAAAAAAGTCTTAAGGACTAAAGAGGCTGTCATGTCACTGCAGCAAGTTCACGCAGGGCTTCGCCACCACAGTGAAGAAGTGTTTTGGTAGGCCTGGGAAAACACCTCAGTGTGGGTCAAACGCTTGCAAACTCAAGGGCCCATCAGTCTCCAGAGCCTCCATAAGCTCTGTGTAGTGCTGCGCCTGTATCATCTCAGCAGTGGGGAGAGAGCCGTGGAATGCCAGGGCTCACTGGCCAGTTGACCCTGCCTGAAAGAAAGCGGACAGTGTTCTTGAGAAGGACACCAAAGTCCATCATCCTCTGGCCTATATGTTTGTGCGCACAGACACACGCACAAAATACAAGTGCTCTCTCTCTCTCTCTCTCTCTCACACATGAATAACTTTAAAACATGTTGTGGTGGGTTCACAGGACCATGCTGAAAGAATGATGCCCATCTCACTTTTCTTCAGTCTGTTTCAAACTTTCTCATGTGTTAGATCTTGTGTTAACTTGCTTGGATTTCTTTTAGTGCCTTGATCTATCTTTTTTTTTTTTTTTTTCCTGACGTGGGTGAATAATGCTGCCTGGTTTACCTTGGTGATCCTCTGGAAATATACTGGATAGGACCATGCTTTTGTTACTAGTTTTCAGTTTTATGCAGGAGGTGATATGTCTAAATATCTTAGCTATACCTGCAGAATGCCACACACAGCGACTCAGTCTAGTATAACGTGCATCTAGGTCACCGGAAATTCTTTCACAAAACTTCAGGGAGTTCACACATTTTATAACATGTAAGATCTGGTTACATTTCTATATTTTGGTGTTTAAATACGGTCTATAGGATAGAGCCTGGTACATAGTAGCTGTTCAGTGAACAGAAGTCTTGTGTGAAGACAGTTAACAGCCTGAGTTATTCCACTAATGTTATCTCCATCCTTGTAAGTATAAAATCTGACCTAGTCAGTGGGCTGGGCATAGGAATATAAAAGACAGAGTCATAGCATGTAAACTGTAACGTAAGCTCCTGAAACATCCAAATAACAAATTCTTGTTGGCGTGTGCAGTTCTAGAGATTTGTAGAACCCCAGGACCTTGTGCCAATACTCTACTGCGGATCCATACTCCCAGTGCAAAGAATATCACTGTAAACCTAAATTTTATTTCTCAGAGCTGGTCTTTTCCAAAAGACAATCACAGCTGGAGTTTTGGGATTTAAAATGGAGTAAATAAGAAGTAGCAAGGAGGGACTAGATGAAGAGCCAAAGTACTTTGTCTTCAACCCTCATCCCAAACTGTAAGATGGTGAACCTGGACTTAAGGGAGCCTTTGAAGGGTCCTCTGTCCAGTCCTCTATAATTTCTTCCTGAGAAGCTGCTGGATGATGGAGTTCTGAGTTTGGAAACTCTAAAGCAGAAAGGACTCCTGTGCCACCTTCCAGGTGAAGCCTGAGGATGAAGTAAATCAATTATAGGCACTTTTCCCACCCAGAAGAGTGTAATGGTGTTCAAGAGTAATGCTGTCATCATCTGAGTAGCTTTAACCATCAAGCTGAGAAAACCTAGAGTCATGCAGGAAGAGAATCTCATTCGAGGAGTTGTCTGGGTCACATTGGCCTGTGGGTGTGCTTATGGACGACACCATTCCCTAAGCAGGTGACCCTGAAGAGCCATATGGCAAGCAGCACCTTTAAGGTTCATGCTGTGTTTCTTTTTACTGTGAGGTGAGTTCTTTGGTCAGAGGTAATACTGTGTGGAATTTCCTGCCTTGACTTCCCTCACTGAAGGACTGTGACCTGGACTTGTAAGCCAAATGAGGCCTTCCTCCCTCAAGTTGCTTTTTTGGTGAAGGTCTTTCATCACGGCCAGAGACTTGAAACCAGACCAATCCTCTCTTTAGATGATCCGTAGAATGTTGAAAGACTCTTCCTGGACTTATTTGTTATGAAAATGAACTTCATGAAGTATCAAAATGATAAACTTGCGGGGCTGGAGAGAAGCTCAGTGGCTAAGAGCACTTGTTTCTCTTGCAGACGACCTGGGTTTGGTTCCCAGAACCATACGGTGGCTCACAACCATTCTAACTCTGGTCCCATGTCCACTTCTGGTCTCCATAGGCAACAGAAACATACATGATATGAATACGTACATGTGGGCAACAGGTTTACAAGGATAAAATAAACTCTTAAAAAATAATAGATGTGTGACGAGTCAGTCTGAGCAGATAGCAGCAGAGGCATAGTGCAAAATCAATGAAAGTGACAAAGCTCTCAGGAGATGCTGGTGGAGGGCAGAGGTTTGAGACTGGCTTAAGCTCTTGCCAATGATGGCTATCTGAGCCCTTCCACCTCCAGCCCCCTGTCTCACTACAGCCTGAACTACAGATGTGTCAACCAGGCTCTTGGCTACTGTGACAAATACCTAAAACAGTTCAGAGGGAGATTTATTTCAGGTCATGATCTCAGAAGTTCCATTGCATGGTTGGCTCTGGACTGGTAAAAGAGGGCTCTGTGTCAAGAGAGGACACAGTGGGGCCTCTGTGAGATCTGCAGAGGATCTCTGTGAGATCCATGAGATCTGCAGATCTCATGGTGGCTGGGAAGCAGATATAGACAGGAAGGAAGGGGCCCTGGATAAGACAGAGTCTTATGACTTCTGATGACCTACATCTTTCAACTAGACTCTTAGCTCGGAGAGATTTCCCTATCTCCTGATAAAGCGATTAAACCTTGAATCTGTGAATAAAGACTCAGGATACATCTAAGCTTCCACTTAGGGCTTCAATCTGGTACCTCCTTTAGTCTCCATCATATCTTGTTTCACGTGCAAGGGATAAAGCGGTAAGTTGTATTACTAGGTCAGAGTGTATGGGCATTGCCCTGGATTGAGCTGAGCTGCCCTTAAACCCATATATTGGAGACTCAAGCCCCCAAACGACCGTATCTGTTAACAGGGCTACTGCGAGTTATCTCAGTATCCGCCTGGACTCCAACCAAAAGAGGACTCTGTTTTTATTATAAAAGGAATATATTTCTTGCTCTCCCCCTCACTTCTTCCCAGATAGCCATCTACAAGTAGGAAGAGTCCTCACCAGATATGAAACCACCCAGGGATTTGATCTTGTACTCTGAAGGCACCTAATCTATGCTGTTTTGTTATAACAGCAACAGCAGACTAATACAAACATTTTAAAGAATATGTGTGACATATATCGATAAGTCAGTTTTAGGAAGTTACTTCCAGTACAAGTCTTGGTTGGAGCTGGAGAGATGGCTCAGCAGTTGAAAGGGCATACAGACCTTCTAGAGAACCTGAGGGGTTTTCTTTCATTTGTTTGTTTTTGTTGTTGGTTGGTTGTTTTGCTGTTGCTTGGATTTTTGTTCATTTTGTTTTTTTTCTCAAGACCCATGTTGGTGGGGTTCCCAGTTGCCTATAACTCTAGCTCAAAGAAATCCAATGTCCTTTTCAGACCTCCCCAGGCACCGCACACTTACACACATGCATGAGCATGCACACACATGCACATACACACAAATAAAAACAAAATACATCTTTAAAATAAACAAACAAGCATCATTCCACCAACACATAAGGGAGCTCACTGCCTCACACCCTCAATCCAACATCTGGGATATAAATCATTCAAGTTTTATTCTTAATATGTTTATTCTTGAGTTTTTTTTTTCTGAAGTTTTATTCCCTTATAGAACTAAGTTGCACTTCCCCACCTGGGTTTATAGTAACATTGTCCTGGATTCCCTACAGAATGTGACTATTCCCAGCATGAATTCTTCACTATCGAATAGTGACAGAACTTGCCGAATAATGACTGCTGACAGTCATCGGGGGAAAGACAAATGACAACGGTGTGAGTCAGTGTGTGAGTCACTTTTCCATTCTGACTCCGTTTCTCTCTCACCTTCTCCATCCAGTATTTCTCTCCTGTGACCCATGCTTTGTTTTCCTAACTTTGCCCTGAGTTGGCACCAAGTCTTCGGAGATGAAAATATCTCTCACGTCAATCCTCTTGCCTCATAACATTCTCAAGCTGTTTTCCCCTTTTTAGCATTTCAAGGGCCATTCTTTCCCACTGCATCCTCTGAAAGCTGCTCGGGTTTCTGGGGAAGCGATGCCTACAGAATTGATAGTTGAACAAAAAATTATAACCACCTGTGCTGACCAAAGCTGACGAAAAGGCTACGCCAATGTAAAACAAAGGGTACTTCAAAAGCCAATTAAAAAGGAAAAATTTACTTACTTTTATTTTATTTCTTGTGCATTAGTACTTTGCTTGCATGTATCTGTGCATCGCCTTCATGCAGTGCTCCCTGAGGCCAGAAGAGGGCATTAGGTTCCTCTGGAACTGGAACTGCTGAGGATTGAGAGCAGCCAAGTAGTTTTTGGGAGTGGAAAGTAGGCAAGAACAACCTGGGAGGAGACAAGGGAGGGGTCTAGAGCTGGGATACAAAGTGAATAAAGTGTGATAGATAGATAGATAGATAGATAGATAGATAGATAGATAGATAGAT